ACTCTTGTAATGACATGCCAGTAATGAGAATGGAGCCCCTGATGTGTCTCCTCTTCCCCGAGACCCATACAGACCAAGCACGTCTCTAAGTGGCACCACCTGCAATCCCCTAGCACAGCTCTAGCCTACTGCAGAGACCACAACACGTGGGCGTCTATGATCTGACACTTTCCCGTTGCCGCTGTCCCTGCGAGGTGGTGCCAGAGTGTCTGTGGATGGCTTCTAGCACTCCCAGCCCCCTGATTTATATTACCAGCAGACTGCCATTAAAATATTTATGAAGGCATTACATCCGTGCGTGCTGTTCTAGGGTTGCAGAGGAGATCAGGCTCCGTCAGCCGGCAAACAACAGAATGCTAATTATCAAGATTTATCTGCTCCCTTTGGAGACAGAGGTGCCTGCAATGTACTGCAGTGCAATTCGTGGGAGGTCCACCAAGCAAAAACAGGGTCCAAGAGCAGGAGGTGGGTCTAATGACAATTACTGATATCCAAGGGACAGAAGGTCATTTGCCGGTTTCAATATCACAGTTAAGGGATTCAGTTACACTGGGAGCATCCTACACATTACCCTGATGACAGTAAACGGTTTACCAATTTCCTCTGTACTAAACACCGTCATTTGCGTCACACATAGTATATCAGGTGGTGTTTATCCAGTGCAACATGCTGCATGCTCACCTGTCTTAGTGAGCAGAACTTCACAGGCTGTTTTAAATTACAGGGTGATCCCATGGAACAGAATACACTCACATCCAAGGGATCAAACTGACACTATGCAAGGGAACACTCTAGAGTAAATGAAAAAAAAAAAAAAATCAAATTTGACTAAAATATTGAATAATTATCTAGAAAGGATTTTCTATTAGCTTGTAATAAAAAGGAGTGCCAGAAGGGCAGCACAGAGAAAGTCTTCTGTGTTGAGATCAGGGCTGCCAATAGGGGGTACCTTCGGGCATCCTGTAGGGGGCCCAGGCCAGCTGGCAGCTTCAAGCTGCATATTGTAGTAGTATACACATACAGTCCTGAGATTACATCAAGATCCCGGCATCCTGTATGTCACATGGGCAGCAGCTACAAGTCCAGTACAGTCATCCTATACTGGACCTGCAGCCGCTCTGTAGAACAGAAGACCGGATCGCTCCCTCTGACTGTGGACTGCCCCAGGTAATGTTCAAGAAGCCTCCAATCAGGGCTAGTGCACTGCAGCCAATCAGCTCTTTTTGCCACCTGGCGTCCTTGGTGTGTACTCTGGGAAGCTGCAGCTGGAAAGGTCGGCAGGTTGGCCCTCCATGTCAGGCTTGTGAGCAGACAGTGGCTGATTTACAGCTTTCTTTAGAATGTGGAAATCCTCAGTGTTCAGCCAAGCTGAGAAGGCACTCTGAAGGCATCAGCTTTAACCTTTGCCACGCTGCCTGAGCAATAATTAGTGTAGTGTCTCAGCAACTAGAGGTCTCAGATTTCCAGGGACAGTGTACAAAAATAAAAGAAGGGCACTGTGGATGGAGATGGGGGGCAGTGAGTGTGGGCTGTGTTTAGAAGGAGGGGCTTAAACCTCCCAACTGTCCAGGATATAAGCAGAGCCATCCCAATATTTTAACAAAATCTCAGCATCCCACAAATCACAGTGACAGAACACACTAGCACAGGCACCCAGGACACTTATCCCCCCCCCCCCCCCCCCCCGACTATTTTAAATGCAATTTTAGTGAAAAACTAAGCTCTAATCCTACTCTATGCCCCAGACATGCCTAATCTGTTAAGCAAAAATTGCTGTACTTGCGTGTTTTTTGAGCCGCTCCAGTCCGGTCTCCAGTGGCGCCCTCTGTGCGCAGGAGAGAAAAGAAAATGGCTGTGAAATCCCTGGGAAGTGACATCACCCATAGCATTACTAAAGGTTTTCCATTGTCAGGTGCTTCTCCTGCACACTGCCACACGTTGAAACCGCCGCTGACAGCTCAGCGTTGGGACTGGACCAGAGCAACTGGAGAACAGACAAGTACGCTGATTTATACTCTACAAGGCTAGATAGATTAGGCTTAGAATGTGGCATAGAGTAGGTTCAGCATTAGTTAGTTTTTTTTTTATTTAACTTCCTCTTTAATGAAGTTCTTCTTTAAGGTAGGCTCAGACAAAGTGTTGGTGAGACTCTTGCTTGTGGTACAGCAACTAATGCATGTTTTATTGGTACAAGAAAGCCCAGGTGTTGTTTAGCAATGCCTCTTAAACCCCTCCCACTGTTAAGAGGTTGGCCACATTCATTTTTGCCACAGCGCGGTACATGCCACCGCAGGTCACCGTCCCCCTGAAGTGTCCCTCATTTGCAAGTTCTAAAGTTGTGAGGTATGCAAAAGGTACAGGGAGATCAAAGTGCACAGACACCTTTTCCCCATGCCGTCCATGATGAATTATACAGTTAGCAGCCAAATGTGATCATCATCATTATAGTTACACCGTTTAGGTGCTTTGAGCCAGAGCTCCTGTGCTGTGTGATTATCATGAGAATGATGATGATGGTCATTAGACAGTGAAAAGCATCCTAAGGCTGTATTCACACCGACAATTAGACAATTAAGGCCATTGCGGACTGTAGTGGCACTTCCTTCTGCGCCTCTTAGCATGTAGTTGCAGCCTTTCACTATAATGACAGGTTACCAGCAGCCACACCTATTTGCGGCTCTCTGCACAGCCAGTGATTACCTGCAGTTATCACTGCTGGATGGATAATGCATCCAGCAGCAATCACCGCTGGTAATCACTGGCTGTTCAGAGAGCCATGAATGAGTGGAGCTGCCGGTGACCTGTGATTATAGTGAAGGGGCCTGTGCAAGGCACCAACCTGCTAAGAGCCGCAGGAGGAACTGTAGCTATAATTCACACCAGCCCTAGTCAGCAGTGTAAATGTAGCCTTAAGCCTCATTTACGCTTGTGTTTAGGGGGGTGGTAAAAATGTGCAGCTCAGCTGTGCAGTTTTGTCGCCCCTAACTGCTCCCCCTTCTACTGCATGCACTTGAAGACAAAGCTGCAGTTTGTTTCAAGGCAGGGTCATGAGATGGGGCAGGGTCATGAGATGGGGCAGGGCCAGGGGTGCTGTCAAAGGGGTCCACATCAGGTAGGCTATACAGGGCCCCAAGATTTCTAACAGCGGCCCTGGTTGAGGAGAGTGTAGCAAGGTTTAAAGTAGTTCTAAGGGCTAAAGGCTTTTTATCTTCATGCATTTTATGCAGCTCCACCTCCTCCCCCCTCCTGCGCCCTAATACTTACTGGACCCTGATCCAGTGATGTGCACAAGAGCAGCGGCTTCTCCTGGCTCTCTCCCTTCTCATTGGCTCAGAGACAGCAGTGGGAAACATTGGTTCCTGCTGCTGTCAATCACAGCCAGTGAGGAGGGAGTGAGCAGGCAAGAGTGGGGTCACTCGGCAGGGGAACCGAGAAAAGGAGGGATTGGGGCTGCTCTGTGTAAAACCATTGTACAGAGCAGGTAAGTATGACATGTTTGTTATAAAAAATAATAAAATCACCTTTAGTATCATTTTAATAGTCCAACAGGTATTTAAGGCAACCTGGTCATGAAGACTAAAGACGACACAAAGAACATACCTAATATAGCCACAAAACCAAAATGCTGATCTGTTTAAGGTTCTGTGAAGCCAGCTTGGAAATAATTCATGAGCGTTAATCTCCTGCATCCTTTGCAATACCCACTGGCTCTTCCCATCAACCTCTGTTACTAATGGACACAGTAAAGATGTGGAGGTTGGGGGAGAAGCCAGTTAGCTCTGGGAAGGACACAGTACATTGACACTCCTGGGAGAAGCATCTGTAGATGACAGAGGAGATGGACACTCATTGGTGGAGGAACCATTTAGCTCTAATGAGGGCACAAGAGAATGACACTCCTGAGGAGAGGGGCGCTAGACAGCTCTGTGGAGTACACAGGAGATTGGCATTCTAAATTTTACTTAATTCGTGAGATTTGTATGAATTTGTGGTATTTAAAACAGGACTTGGTCACACATTGCTGATAGCAAAGAACTACGCATTCTGAGAGAACACAGCATTTATGGTATATAAAATGTCTAATTTGGGAGGAGAAGCCAGTTAGCTCTGCAGAGGACCCAAGAGATCGACACACCAGGAAGTGTTGATTTCTCAGCAGACTTTCGAGGCCATTCCAAGTAAAGTGGTATTTGGTTGTAGAGGCAGCTGGAAGGATAATTACATTCTTCTTTTGCAGAACATTCCTTTTGTCAACTTTGGTATTCAGAACAGGACCTGCTAAGAGTTCACCTCTAGCAACATTTTACAATAAGCTTCCTCTGCAATTGCAGATCTTCTGAATATTACATACCAGCAATCCTTATTCTAAAATACTGCACTTGCTTCCTATTACATTTGCGCTAAGGGAGAGGGGGGTGCACTTGCTCTCTGCTGGTGCAGCTACAGAAGAAGTGAGTGCACATCGCACACAGATTGATCCAGACCTAGGATCAATATTGCAAAATGTTGCTAAAGGTGAACTTATAATTTAACGTAGTCTAAAACCCCAGCAATGACATCTTCTGCCTCGGACACTTCTTTAATAGAGAATTCATTGCTGTGAAAAACATACTGTATATACCCTTAGGAAGTATCTGCTGTCAATGCTCAGAGTGTGGTTCTGTGTAAAAATTATTTGACTCTTGTGTAAGTAAATCTGTATTTAGCTGAATTATGAACACCTTTAAAGCGTTTTGTAACTGCTTAGGTGCATTCATCAGGTACGGTGCACAGGTACTTAGGGTCATTAGCCAAGCTACTGCCAATAGTCTTAAAACAAATTCTGTGTGTATTCCTAGTGAAAATCCAGTAGGATGCAAGCACCATAGGTTTAAACTTTACTTACTTAGCGAAACGTATTTGGAACAGAACTTGGCCACACATTGCTAATAGCAAAGAGCTACGCATTCTGGGAGAGCACAGCATTTATGGCATATAAAATGTCCCTGTTGTCTACTTACCACAGCTTCCCTGTCAGACACCCCAAAGGCACACTTCTGTCTTTTGCTAGTTATGTAGGACGAATTCTCTTGGATCTTCTCCAGTAGTTGGCGCATTGGCTTGCAATAATTGGATACTTTACATTCCTTTAGGAAAGATTTCAGCTGCAAGGACAAAAAAGAATTTTATACAGAAATCAGTGGCGCTAAGGCTTTCCAGTAAAAATCTTGGGCAACAATTAACTGGTAAGGAGCTTCACAGACAGGGATACAGCATGAACACAACCTCTGGAGACATAAATGTATACCTATCGCAAACGTAATTAATTTAAGACATAGCATATGGTGAGAAAAACTAGATAAGCAGAGGCTACCGTTAAGTAGATCTAGAAACAAGTTGGGATAGAGTGGGGTCAAGTTGAAACTTTTGTAGGGTTTTTATTACTCTGACAGGTTAGGGAGATTTTGCCACACTTCATGCCCTGCTGACTAAAACAGGAAGTAAAGCTGGCTATTCACTAGTAGATTTTCAAACAAAAGGTTCATATGATCAATGTTCATATGATCATTCACACAACAATTTTCAGCACGTTTGATAACTTGATGTACTTCAAAACTTCCTAACATTTAATATTCGATTTTGGAACAAGTGGACTTTCCAAAATGAAAACCACCTATACAGTTAGAAATTTGTTTGTACAAGAACATTTTCCATCCTGCTCCCCCAAATTTTCTCATCACTGTGGTCAAAAACAAACGATGATTTGACCCTACTACCCATTACAAAATCAAAAGAACATTCTTAAAATGAAAAATTTCAAACATTCTACTAGTGTATGGCAAATTACAGGAAACATCCCAACAGGGACACAGACATCAACAAAATCCTTCCACACTCCAATATGGGTGGTATTACTGCTATTTTCACATCGTAGAAATTCTGTTATGTTCTGTTCTTCATAAATTTAGGCCAAGATGTATTCTGCTACAGGTCTTTGGTGAAAATAACCCAAATTAGTATTTATTTAGTCTGTAGGAAAGTTATAGAGTTCACAAACTATGGTATAGATCTGAATATTGATCAATCCTGAAGTACTGACAGCCAATCTAATTTTTTTGAGGCCCAAGAACGTCAGAACAGTACAGATATCCCCCGAATGACCCCTTTTGGCAAAGTAGACAGTCCGACATATTTCGTTAACAGGCATGGCGAGTTTTTTGAAGTTGTAATTTTTTTGTCATTTTTCGGAAATGAATAAAAAAAATGATTTTCACTATTTTTTTTTTTTTTCCACATACTGTCACCAGTGCAGTACAGTGTCATCATATAACTGGCATGGTGGTGATCAGGGACACTGACTGGTGACAGTACAAAAAAAGAAAATTGATAATTTTTTTAAAATTTTAAAATTATTTTTTTTTAATTTTTTTTTTTCATATTTCACTATGACAAAAGTAGTATAATGTTACCATAGTAACATTGTACTACTTTGGGAAAGTGATCAGTATTTTTTTTTACATAATTTTCTTATAGCAAAGAATTACTTTGCTATAAGCAAGCATTTACCTGAATGAAATCAATTCATTCAGGGATTTTTTTTTGTGCTTAGCTGTGACTGGGCCCAGCTTGTGCATGTGATCGCTGTGACCATTTACAGCTAGCCACACTTGTATACAATGGATGGCATGAAAGGAAGCCATCCATTGTATACAACTGTCATGTGACCTGCTGTGATTGGTCACAGCAGGTCACATGGTACTGGCAACAGGCCGGTACACAGATCTGTCATCGGCCGTGTCCGAGGTACATTGCCGGTGACAGATCGCGCCGCTGCGCGGCTCTGCGGGCACGCATACTGCACATGCCTGAAAGGACGCCCTATGGAGTCCACCCGGAGGGACAAGGTGCTCGCCCGGCCGCTATCTGGCCATAGGCAGGGCGGGAACCAGTTAAATACTCAATGGAAACATCTATGCTATGGGCAAAAAAAATTTCTAGAGAGGTAACCAGTCTTTGCTTAAAATATGTAAACTCCAAAAAGGAACTTCTCTCATTTGCTCCCTTTTGATATGTTAAATATGAAAGAGTTTAGTTATATCTGTTCAAGGAGTGCAAAATAAACAAACAGTTAATTCTGCCAGAAAAATCCAGTGTTGTAATCCAGTGTTGTCCTGCACTCAGCACACTTATCTCAAGAAATGTTATCAGTAAGAGTGTTAGGACTACAGAACACCTCCCATGTGTTATGAAGATGAGGAGAGGCAGAGGTGTCCTATAGTCTTAAAGTGTCACTAAACCCAAACTACTCTCAATACATGTTATATAACAGAGAGTGCATTTTCACAAAGCCACTAAAGCATTAATTTTGGATAGACTGAAACACCTGGTTGATCATGCCGCTTTCAGCTGTCCCTCCCATCTTCTATGTGTCCCCATTGCAGGCTAAGGTTGAATAGACCAACTGTTGCCATCTACTGAGCATGCTCCAGTTCCAGTTCTCCTGTAAGCTGCTCATTTCCTCTGTTTTCTTATCTGTGCAGCCCATGTTAATAAAGTGACACACATGAAGGTATATAAACTCCAGATAAATGACACTCCCCTCCCTCCCTCCCTCTATGTCCTCCTATTGCTAAACACTATAGGGGCGGAATATAGTATGCAGATTGATTACATTCACTAAGAAACAAAAAAAGCTCAGTTTTCAGAGAAATCAGTATTAAATATATAAAATGTAATTGCGAATACCTTTAAAATAAAAAAAAAAAAATAGCATTGGATGCAGATGCTGTCTAAACAAAATGAAAACTATGGTCAATCATCTTTGACTTCTATACCATATATATGCATAAAAATACACATTTTGTGTTCAATAAGGATTTATCAGGAGCTGCAAAAAATGTATTATATAACGTAATTTGAATTGCTCTTCTAAAACCAATTTTATTTAGTCATGTGACCGGCACAGCACCAATTAGAGCTGCGCAGACACAGACTCATACTGCATCAGCATACATCAGCAGAATAATAGAAGCCCCCTCCCAAGGATCATTCCCTGCAGATGACTAAGAACAGGGAAAGATCATTTGACCACACTTTAACGTACATGTGAATGATGTAATGTGCATGTGACATAAATGTACAGATTTGAGTAGATAAGATGTGATCAGTAGCAATATGTAATCGTAACTGTAGGGACATTCCATTGTCATTAAGGATGTATATTCTGTAGGGACATTCCATTGTCATAAAGGATGTATATTCAGTCCTTGTCATTGGGGAAATGAGGTACAATTAGCATCAATTAGGCTGAAAAGCCCTGCTTGGCTTCTGGGATGTGACACCTTTTGTGTTAATAAGGTTGTCACCTTCTGGTGAAACCAGTTTAAAGGAAGTGGCCCCAGATATTCCGGCTTCATGACAGCAGGGAGCTAAAGGTATACCCCTTCATCAAAAGGGGTATGTTTAATCTCTCATAAAAAGCTAAAATATTAGTTGCAGAGAGATGAACATGCTCCTTTCTTGTAGGGCATTCTGTAGACTACATCGGCACTAAAAATCATATTTGTGGTTTAGGCAGAAGGACAGGAAAATGCAGGAAATGGTTAGGTGTCGCTGGATGGCGACAGTCGAATGGTGTTTGCTACTGTCGCAATCGGACTAATGCGTTGGTGTCTCAAGCCGGTCCTGGCACGATTGAAGTGGCAGGTCAACAAAGTGTAATTAAAGTCAACACCCAGAACATCCTGTGGGGAGGTACAGGAACCCCCCCCCCCCCCACCCCCCATGGTCAATTGGCCGAGGACTAATGTCCCGCCTACGTCCATATCACCATAAAGGTACCCGGACACTGGGACATTTGCTATTCGTAAGGAGCTGGTTCAATCGACCAACGGATTGCCGATTCTCTGACTTGCTCCAGTCGCAGGGTAAATACTGGTAAAGTTTTACTTCTGTCTTTTATTCTCTTTTTATTTTTTATAGTGAATAGTCATTTGTGTGTCTTCTTGTATTTCTGTAACTTTTTATATTTTGTACATATTTTATGCACTGCCTGCTTTTGGGAAATTAAATCTTAAAAGTGACTTCTGTGTATTTAAGCACGTGCTCATATCTTCGGAGAGATTGGATTGGAGAGATTAGATTGGATTAGATTAAATTGTATTGCATTTTAGTGCATTTAAACGCTCGGTCACACTGTGTGGGCAGATTGCGTGCAGATTGTAAAAGGTAACATATCGGCCTGACAGAGATCTGTGTGTGTGGGGTGTCCCAGCAGACTGTTCTGCGGATAAACTGTTGGGTGGTGGCAGGCTACCTTTTGTGGTGTGTCTGGTGGAAGAGTAACTAACACCTGGGTTCAAGCTGTAGGTAGCTGGAGGGACCTTACAAGGGTGTGTAATTACCAAGCTGCTCCTCAACTCTAATCAGTGCATCAGATTGTATATAAGATTTGTATCAGTGAAGGAGAAAAATTACCGGTTTGCAAAATTTTATAATAGAAACAAAGAAAAACTTTTTTTTTCAAATTTGTTTCTCTTTTTTGGATTATAGTGCAAAAAATAAAACACTCAGTGGCGATTACCTACCACCAAAAGAAAGCTCTATTTATGTGGAAAAAATGATAAAAATTTCTTATGGGTACAGTGTTGCATAACCACGCAAATGTAATTAAAATTGCGACAGTATTGAAAGCCTGAAAATTGGCCTGGGCACAAAGGTGGTAAAAGTGACCAGTAGGCAAGTGGTTAAAAAAGTATGTCCAATGCCACATTTTGAAGCATGTGTAAATAAACTCTAAGGTACTTAGAGGATTTAAAAACAAAACAAAATACAGTGGCATGATGTACCGTATTTTTCGCTCCATAAGACGCACCTGACCATAAGACGCACCCTAGGTTTTAGAGGCAGAAAACAGGAAAAAAAAAATTCTGAACTAATGGACTGCAGACATAGTAGGGATGTACAGGGATGACCAGAGACTGCGGACAGTACAGGGATGACCAGAGACTGCGGACAGTACAGGGGGATGACCAGAGACTGCGGACAGTACAGGAGATGACCAGAGACTGCGGACAGTACAGGAGATGACCAGAGACTGCGGACAGTACAGGAGATGACCAGAGACTGCGGACAGTACAGGAGATGACCAGAGACTGCAGACAGC